CGCCCTGGGGCCCTTTCTCCCCCCCACCCCAGTGGGGGGCCCGGCGGCTGGGCGGGGGGGGGTCTCCTGTGCCCCCTAAGGTGGGCTCTTCTCCGCAGAGGCGCCCGCAGCCGGGAGGGGGGCGGCGGGGATGCTGCCGGAATGGCTTCCTTGAACTCGTGTTTGGGGAGTACGTGTGAATGCCTGCGGTGAGGTGTGGCCTCTGCGCTCCGGTGGTGTGGCCTGGACGCGTGTGGAGGGAGTGGGGCTGGCCACTGACTCCCCTAGACGTGAATGCCGTGGGAAGGCCACGGGAGCGGCGGGGGCACCTTGCGAGTAAGAGACAGGATGGGGCTGCATCGACAGCCTCGGGACCAAGCCCTCGCCCCGACTCTGAGCCCCCACGTTGCCCGGGATGGGAACGATCCGCCAGCATCTGGGACCAATCCAGAAGGCTAGCGGCGGGCAGAAGCCAGGAGCCCCTGGAGGGAGGCATCGCTCGGCACCTGGAGCCCAGCGGGTGACGGGCAGGAGAGGGGCAGTCCTCACCCGGACCAGCAGTCCAACCAAGGGGAAGGCTAGAGGCCGTGTGTGGGCACAGGTGACGCCCTGCCAAGGGTGCCCAGCGGCAGGGAGGGGAGGGGCCCTGGCCCAGGGCTCACACCCTGCTTTGCATGTAGAAGAGCCACCCCCCCGAGCCCCCAGCACCTCCAGGCTGGGCAGGAATCACCCCCGCCTGAAATGGTGGCGGCTGGCCCTGGCTGCCAGTCCGTGCTGGCCATCAGGGCCTGGAAGGATAAAGGGCAGAGGGCAGCTCCCGGCAGAGAAGGTGGCATCTGCCGGACCTTACTAGGTGGAAGTAATCAGACCTCTGCTCCAGGCATTATTTCATCATCCTAGCACCCCTCCCTCTTGTGAAGAATCCTGACCTCGAAACAAGGGCCGGGCAGGATGTTGTAGGAGAGCTGGGGTTCTGTGCTGTCAAGACGCGTCTGACTTCATGGTGACCCTAATCGGGGTTTGGGGGGGCCGGTGGGGTGTCCAGGGAGTGGCTCAGGATGGCCACCCACCACCGAATGTCCACCGCTGAGCAGGGGTGGGGGGGGTTTTCAACCCAGATCTCCAGCACATCACTCTGTCCCTCTAGTGAAAGAGTGCCCCTGGGCATATACAGAGTTACTCCCTCTCACTCCTGGGAGGACCCCCATCATCCCCTTGAAGAAGACAGAGGGGGAGAAGTAGCTCTTGCGTTTTCCTGGCTACCTTCCTTGGCTTCTAGAATGCTACAGGAAGACTAAATATAACTAAATATTGGATGGGGGGGGGCTTTCTGGAGACCACCCTCCCCTTTAAGGTCACGAGGAAGGTCTTTTCCATTTCTCATAGGATCAGTGCCTGCTGCCATGCCTCATTTCGGAACATGACTCAGCAGTTGTGGGAAGGTCCCCCGGTTCCTCTCCAAAGCCCCTTCCTTGAGCTGCATCCATGCTGCTACTTCTGAAGCAAAAGAGGGGAGATGGGGGGGAAGGGAAGCATTGAAACAAGAGTGCAGCAAAGAAACAGCCCCTGTCTTACCCCCCATCAATGCCCCCCCCCGGTCACCCAAGAACATAGGGTGGCAGAGCAAGCAGGGCTGAGCTGAATTCTCAGCCCGTTCTTCCTCTGTCACAGCGGCTTGAAAATAAATGTGATCCTCCAGCTTGCATACACGTACAGTATTCTCAATTATGGATGCTGTCAAGAGTTTATAGATTTTATAGCTGTGGAAGAGAAATGTGGGCTTCGAAAGGGCACGCCAAGGCTTTGCATTATTGTCTTATCATCCCTCCGATTTAAAACACACGGAGCGTGCCCATGCGCATGTGCGCATGCACACACAGCCAGAGGATGATCCGCTGTGTTACTTCCTCCCATGGGGATGCAGCCGATTTGCATACAAAGGCCAGGTGCAAGTTAAGCAGCAGCCAGAAGGCCACTGAGTTGCACATCACTGGAAAATGACAACGGAGGAAGATATGAACCAGGAGACCTAGAAATACCCTGAGATTCTGCACCGTTGTAAGATTCCCCAGCAATATATATAGATATTTTAACAAACACGCCACTCATTCTTGAAGTAACTTCAGCCTCACCCCAGGCATTAGCTAAACCAGTGCAACATACTGCTAGGGTGCATGACACGTCACAAGGGGACAAGTCTCTGCCCCAAGTGGCTTCCAATCTAAACTTTAACACAAGGTAGACAGCAGAAGGGCAGGGAGATGGAAGCCAGTAGAAACAGGTAAAGGTCTGGGTTTGTTTCGGGGGAAATGGAAGAGAACCTAAGAGCAAAACAGGATTTAAAAAAAAACATTGTGTTTTCCTTAAACTTTGTTGCTAGACACGGAAAATCAAAATGAAAAGAAAACATTTGTATTATAATTTTAGAATTAACTTGGGAAAGTCATTCATCTTCTGGCAAGTGGGCCGATCAACAAGCAATAAAATAAAATAAATGAAACAACCCCCCCCCCATCTCTTCCCACTTTTTTAAAGCTATAATCACCCATGCTGATACTGTACTATCTTATTCAGGAAACACCACATCCTCCTTATGAGGACACATAGTAGAAAGAGTGAGGGACACAAGGACCAAGGAGGCTTGGGTTCAAAACCCCATTCAGCCATGGAAACTGACTGGGGGGGGGACTGGGAAAACCACTCCTTAACCATTCAGCAAAGGAAAATGACTGGGGGGGGGGGAACCGGGAAAACCACTCCTTAAGTATCTCATGTACCTCGAAAGCCCTATTAGAGTCACCCTAAGTCCATCCCAATTTGAGGGCATAGAACTAAATAACCAATGAGCGCATAAATCAGGGTTGTCATTGTTTTGAGCTAACTGAAAGTCTTCCATTGCACTTTCAAAGCTGAGGAATGAGTCACTCACAGAAAGACGAGCAGGGGACTGTCCAAGGAGAGAGCTGCAGGGGACTGGAATCAATGTGGAATCTCCCCAATAATTAAATAAGTGCCCTTGGTTAAATACATGCATGTATGCATGCACACAAACATCCATCATCAAGGGGACAAAAGACAGCAGAGAGGCCCAACCTGTGTCTGTGCATATATCCCAGTCCAATGTGGCTTTGAAGGTAGAAATACAGAGGGGTGTGTGTGTGTGTCACCAAAAGGAATACCAAAACCAATTAAGTTAAACAGCACAAAATCAAGTCTAGAGCAAAGCATGTGTTTGGAGTTTATAGGGAGGGGCAGGGTGGGGATCACCAAATCTTAAGCCCCCCACAAGAAGTGTGTTACCTGCAAAGCAGCCCCACTTTTCTCGGGGAAACAGGTTGAGCTGATGTGGTTCTACCGGTGGCCCCTCGACCGTCCCGTCTCTCAGGTTGACTCAGCTCCTTCTCATCGGCTCGGAAGCTTGTGGGACGCATGTTTGTACACAAATACCTGAACCGTTCAGTGCAGTCTGGACCCCATGAAGTGAGGAGGCGGCGAGCAAAGGGGTCCCCAGGTGGCTAGAAAAGGTGAAGGGGGTGTTAAGAATGAGGGTGGGTGGCTCCAGGGCAGGTGGCAAGGAAACGAAGCACCTTGTTTAGCGCCGAGATGGACTTTGCTCCTTCCCTTTCCTCGAGTCACATTTTCCTTAATGGCGTTTTGGCGGAAACAAGCAGCCGCCTCCCAAATTGGCTTAAGAAGATCGGCTGCACCGAGGCGACTCATGCGGCGGCCAAGATAGAGGAGAGTCTGTCTGGGGATTTCGGGTCCCAGCTGCCGAAACAGGTTCCAGAGCTCGGGAAATGGGACAAGAGGTTTAAAGAGGAAAGAACCCTCTCTGCACATGTACAGAGTGTGTTTCTTTCTCTGATGTGACAAGCTGCACATCCAGGGAGGTTAAGCATCCATTCTGATGTCTATTGACTGGTGTTGCTGGTAGTTAATATGATTTTTACATGGTTGCTTTGCCAGCTTTAGACCCAGGGGCAACCTATACATGCAAATGTCGAGGGGGTAAAACCAATTAACCCATCAATAAAAGGGGCGGGCAGCCGGGCTTTGAGCCAGGCTGTAAATTTGGGGCTTCTCTCTCTCTCTCTCTTTGGAAATCAAGAACTTGGTAAAGTCATTCCTCACTGGAGCAGTTGGTAAGGTGGAATCCAGGATTGCTGCTGCAGGTTTTCTGTCTTGCCAGGGGCTCCTTGGCCCGCAGAAGGGGGGGGCAAATGCAGAACACTTGGATGGCATCTAGAAGCCGCTTGCAAATTTAAGCTGGGAAAAAGGGGGGGGGCTTGTCGTGGTGGCTAGGGATGGCTTAGCAGGGGAAGAGGTGTCGCTAAGGGCTAAACAGTCCTCTCCATCCCTCCTTGGTAACCATGTCCCTCAAATCAGCTGCTGCACCCCAGGAATCCCTTCACTAGGTTAGTCAAGAAACTGGAGTTTATTTATTTTAACCTCAACGCCGACCCTCCCAAGCAGGCCAAAAACCACAGTGTGAAATTCAGTTCCCCCTTGGCTGGAGGGAGAGGAAGGCTCTGCTAAGAAGCTTGGTTCCCGGTTTTAATTTTCCACAAGGCTGGTTTTTGTACTGGAGGGGCACCCCTGAGCTCCAGCTCTGTAGAGGATGATGCCACCCTCACAGAAATTGCCAGGCCTTTTTCCAGAGCGCGCCGCTAATGGGCAGACCAAGCCCGACCTGCCCGGAAGCAAAGCGGCCGGAGAGCCCCTTTTGCAGCAGCTGTGAGGGACTTTTTTCCCCTCTCCTCCCTCCACGGCTGCTGGCGCTTGTCCATTACTGGGAATCGATGCCCCAATCCTCCCCCCCCCATGCATGTGCTTGGAGATGAGGGAGGAGGCACGGATGGAGGGGGGGGAAGGCTAGATTCCTGGGCCATTTCTGGGGCGGCAGCCACACCATTCTGTGCGCACAAAAAACTGGGACACACACAGAGAAAGATGAAGTCCTAACAGAAAGCATGTTCGCCAGAGAATGGTAGTTGTGTGGGGTAAAGGATGGAAAAACTCCTCAGAGAAGCAAGGACAGCCGGGCGGTCCTCCCAACACCTCGGCTCCTGTCAGAGTTTGGAAAGGATGCCTTGGGGGTGGGGGTACAGTCCCCCCAATCCAGCATAGCTTGTAGGGTTCTGGAAACGGTAAACCCCAAAAGGCATGTGACTAACCACTGGCTCCCATCTGGACCTTAAAAAATAAAATAAAAATGGGCTGGGTGTTCCGCTAGAGAGGTAGCGACAACACTTGTTGCCTGGGTAGAATTATTCCTGGAAATTAACACCCATCCCTTCTCCTCCTCCCCCCCAGGCAGCATCACGTTTGCTTAGGAGATGGGGGTTGGCAGGGGTTGCCTGTTACTCTCCGCACCCACCCAGTAAAAGCCTCCAGAGCCCTGGCACATGGCCCAGGCAGTGCCCGTGTGGGGTCTTGGCACAGCCCGTGAGCCAGAGTCTGAACTCTGCAGCTTGGACGTTCTGCTTCTGGGCTCTCGCTGGGCTTGAAGGAAACCTGGAGCTTGGAAACATCCCTTTTTTTGGTGTGGGGGGGTGGAGGACCGTGACACCTCTCAAGTGGAGGCAGGTCTCCACCGCGTCCCCCAATCTAGGGTGCTGGGGGCAGTGGCGGCTGGCCAGGTAGGGCTGGTTGTAGGCAGCAGCTGCACTTGTTCCTCCCATGTTCCGAGGCCAGGGGCTGCCGGCGTGATGTCCCACGCAAAGAGACAACCGCCACCGCTGCTGGTCCCGGGGAGGGGACCTCAGAGCCACGTTCGGCCTCCAGCCAGAGCAGCCGGCCTGGTGGCGTCTTCCTTCCCTCCAGACAGAGCGCCCTTTGTCCTGCCGTGCCCGCTTCTGACCTCCAGCCACAAGCCTGCCTCTTGTCTTTGCAGACAAAAAAAGAGAAGGTCCTTTCCTAAGTGAGGAGCTTTGGGTTCTTGGTACCCAACTTTGGTTCCCCTTGGGAGACCAAGGCGGCCTTTCATCCACAAGGCCGGCGTATTGTGGGTGAGCCATCCAGGCTTGCAGGCAGAACAGAAGTGACACGGAGGAGGCCCCTCTTTTTAGAGGACTTCAGAGGCTGAGCAAGGAAAGGAAGGAGCAAGAGGAGGCGAAAGGAAGGAACGGAAGGTAAAGGGACCCGCTCCCCTGCTTTGTGCCCTGCAACTCTGTTTTCTGGTTTTCAGAGCTGATGAAAGAGGCTCCAAAGCCAGAGCGGCCGGCCCCCGTCATCCTCCCCATCCATGGACCAGTGGAAGAAGAGCCGTCCAGCCCTCCTGCCGAGGAGGAAGGAGGGATCCCAATCCCCACGGCAGGGCTGCTGCAAGTGACCGAGCGCAGGCGTGAGTCCCGTCCATGGGGAAGGGCCCCCGATTTGGACCACCTGAGCTGCTCAGACATTCCCAGCCATCGCAGCTAGGGAAGGGGTGGTGGTGGTGGTATAGAAAAGCATCACCCTGCCATGGAACTGGTCCCCTAACAGTTGACTTTTCTAGGGCCTGGGTGGGAATCTCCATTCCCATACAGACCCCCAACTGACTGGCTGTGTCTCTCTCCCCACTTTGGCCCCGGCAGAGCCTCTGAGCAGCGTCTCCTCCCTCGAGGTGCACTTTGACCTTTTGGACCTGACCGAGTTGACCGACATGTCTGACCAGGAGCTGGCCGAGGTCTTTGCTGACTCGGACGAAGAGAACAATGTGACCAACGAGGCCCCTCCTGGTGAGTCGGGGGGAGGGGGGCATCCCCGCTCCAATGGTCTCTTTCTTTGTGCCGGTTAATCATAGGACCCTTCCCTGGCCAATACACGAAGCAATTCAACCAATGGGCATTTTATGTATGTATAAAACCTAAAAGCTTTATTTCTAGAAGACGCATGCCCTTCTCTTAAAAGAAGCAGCCCAAGGATGTACACAGGTGCCCTACAAAGGGTTTTTTTTTTTTAAATTAATTCCCAGAATTAATTTCCACAAATGCTAATTCTCAGCACAGCGAGAACCTGCTCCAAAGCTAATTAAGAGAATTTTCATTACTGGGACAGATTGGGTGAGAAGGACTGGGGAGGGGGTTGGAAATCTTGCCAGCTGGATGTGTCAGCCATACAGCCTTCTCAGTTTGCTGTGAAAGGGCAAGCAAGCAGGGAGTTAAGCAGCAAACGCAGGTATGCACAGCAGATCAAACATCCCTGTTATGCCTTGAGTTGCTCGTAGTACAGAATCCGAATTTCCCGGAAATATCCACCCGCTTTGGACAGGTATCTGAGCAATGGGGAGCAGAGAAGGACACGCCCTGGGGCCTGATTGTAATGTTCAAAAGGAGAGGTGAGCAATCCTTTACTGGACTATGAAAATATGATAAACAAGCAAGCTGCTGGGTCCTGCAGGTCTCTTCCTCCAAGTGGTCCCTGTACAGCTGGGGCAGGAAGGTCCAAGAATCATCTTGGCTAGATGCTAAAGCTAAGTGACCTCCTGTTAAACTAAAGGTTCAAGATGGAAGTTCCGAACTTCAAGCCTCGGTTCGAAGTGCATTGGTCGTAGTCGGTGTCGCATTCCCTTGCCTAGAGATTTACTTATTTATGTTATAGACTTGCATATCACACCGATTAGTGGTAAACAGTACTCTGGGTAGTTAGCATCCAAAATGAAACAAAAGCAACATAAAATTTAAATAATATACTACATGCTAAAACCACCTCTAGCCAAATAAGGCAGCCTGCAATGAAAATCAGAATGGAGGAAAGCCAACTGACCCTAGAATTGAAAAGTGAAACGGTCCCCCCACCTCTCAAACCAATTAAGTCTGCAATCTCCGGCTTGGAACCTTTGCTTAACTAGAGATCCTGCCATTTCAAGATCTCCTTGGGAATCATTTCTGAATTTTGCTGTTTATGTCCCCCAACCCTGGATTGAACTTCTCAGAGCCGGGCTGATGGGGAAGATTTGAAAACTGGCCTGTTTGGTGGAATATTTTGGTGATCCGGTGGAAGAATTCTGTATCCCTGGCTTTCAAGCAAGGGACGGCATTTAGTCTTGGTGGGTCTTCTGCTTGAGTGTAGAAACAGGGCAGCCCCCCCCCCCCGAGGCCTGTTCTTCCTCTCCTGCGTAATGATGCTCTCTTGAGCAGCTTCGGGAAGACGCAGGAGTCCTGGCTCCAGGGAAAGCGGCATTCTGCATGGGTGGAAAAAGCAACGGGGGGGGGAGTCCCCAGCTGGTTCCAGCCCCTCCCAAAGCAACAGTGCCACAAGTGGGGTATGCATGTGCATGTGTGCGTGCGTGTAGGGGGTGAGGATGTGCTGCAGCTTTTCTCTTGCTGAAAAGGGTGTGAAGGGGGAGAGGGTGGGGAGGGGGTAGCCGGCAGCAGCTGCATTCTGGCGACAGATGGAGTGGAAATGCAAATCAGCCTCCTTGGTGAGAAAAAGCGTGAGCAGAATTAATGAGGAGAAGGGAGAGGGCTCTCTGGATTCTCAGCAAGCCGGAAGGCAGACAGGCAGAGCCCGGACCAACGTCCCCCAGTGAGTTTCACGGCTGATTGGGAACTTGAACCCGGTCCTCCCGACTCCTCGCCCACACTCTAGCCACCAGCCCGCGTCAGCTGTGGTTGCACAGATGTTGGGAGATGCCGCCAGAGGCCCTCCCCTGTAGGCCATGCATACGGTGGAGTCCGCCGGCCCACTCAGCCCACCGAGAATCGCCACGGGCGGATCTCCTGGCGAAAGCCTGCACCTCAGAGGAGGCAGGAAAGGAGGAACTTGAAAGAAGGATGGGGTGGAGAATCTTTCCCGGAGGGGAAAGGCTAAAGCATGGGTAGAACCTGGGGAAAGCATTCTTCTGGACCACACCTCCCATGTGTCTCTGCCAACTGGGGGACAATGGGAGATGCCTTCCAAAAAATAACTTTCCCAAGCACTGAATATTTGGAGCTTTTTAATTAAGGGGGAAAGGGGGGTGGGGAGGAAGAGTGGGGTGATTGCAACTGGTGGTGTCTACCCTGTGGAAGTGGCCGGGTTTCTGCTTCCCTCTTCTTGTTGTCTTAGGTCTGCAGCCCCAGCCCCATCTGAACCCACGGGCTGGCTACCTCCGCTCTCCATCCTGGACCAGAACGAAAGGAGAGAAGGGGCGGGAGAAGAAGCACCTCAGCGACTCGGAGCTCCAGGCCAGCCATGCCGACGCTTTCCTGACTCTGGAGAAGCCGAAAGAAGAATAAAGAGGAGGCCGGAAGCCGAACCAAGGTGCCAACGATCGATCGACTCTTGCACTAGCCGCAAATTCCTGGCAATTTGTGTCCTTAAAAGACATTCGTTCCCTCCTCTGCATCTGCCCCCCCCGGTGCCCCCCGTCCCCACCAATCAAGGACCGTTGCCAATCTTGCTGGTCAACCTTCTCACCTGCCCCATGAGTTACGTTTGCCAATTGAGGAGGCCCCTCTCCCGATCCTTTACAACAACAGGTAGGGCCCGCCATGATTCCAGAAGAAAAAAAATACGGGCCCATTTAAAACGTGTCCTGCTCCTTTCGGAACAGGATCAGCCACGACGGACCACGGAGAGAAGGGTGAATCGGGCCCAGGGGACAGAGCGAGCTGCCGTAGCACAGAGCAATGGGGGAAGTGCTCTCTTCAGCCACGTGCCTTGAGGGATACCAGGGTGATGTGATGAAAGCCTGCCAGCCAGGGCAAGGAGAAAACAAAACACAAAAACCCAACAATACCAAAGGAACGGAAGGGAAAACCTCGCCCTGTGATGCTTCCAGGATCTCTGGCAAAGAGGAGCTGCTGAGCGCCTGGAAGAGCGACACGGGGCAGATCCAAATCTCGCTTCCGAAAAGCACATTTCTCTTCCCAGTGGCCTTAACTCCTGCCCGTGGCTACTCCGGAACGTGGGTCTCAGCACACGCCACGCCGGTAGGGCCGGATAGCTTGCTTGCATCTCCGCAACGGTGGAAGGCATCCCACAGCAAAGAGCTGGGCCGTCCTCCCACCAATTCACCGCGACGGCAACCCCAAGCCCTGCATGTTCTGCTGCCACCCCTCGCGGGGCCAGAGCAGGCGGCGAGGAAGACGACACCCAAGAGGCGACTGGTGGGGTGTCCGACGGCGCTTCTCGAGCCTCTTGCAAAATGGAAAGGTAGGCGCCGAGGCCTTCAACCCAAACCAAACACTTCTCTCAAAAGACCCCCTCCTCCTGCACAGTCCCTAGCCCGCCTCTGGCACCTCTGGACTGGGTGGTGTCCCCACTGAGCGGATGTAGCTGGCCAAAGGGGCTGGGGTTTTAAAGCTTTCCCATCCCTCCCGTCCAACCGGGCACCCCCTTTCATGCCATCCAGATCCTTGGGGGACCCACCGCAGAGCTCGCCCGGCCACACCCCTTCTCCCTAGAGCTGTGGCCCCCCCAACCCTTGGGTCCCCAGGATGTTCTTGGACTTCAACTCCCAGAAATCCTGGCCAGCAGAGGTGGCAGCGGCGAAGGCTTCTGGGAGCTGTAGTCCGAGAACCTCTGGAGGCCCAAGGTTGGGGACCCCTGCCCTAGAGAATCCCAGGTCCTTCATCAAATTAGCAATCACGGGCCTCCTTTGGATGGCACCACCACCGTTAAAGTGGGGCCAGACATCTGAAACCTGTGCAGGGCAGCTGCTCCCAACTCAGCCCAGGGGCCCATTCAAGCAGGCAGAGGCTCCTCTCGCCACCACACAGCTGGATCACTGTTTGGTTTCCTAGGTCAGTCCACGGACTTCCGCCTCGAAAGCGAGCTGATCAAGGACGCCCACCCACCCCCTGGTGGCAGCAGAGGCAGGGACTTGCCACGGGGGCCGTCCAGCGGGGTTGGAGCCGGGACCTCAGCCTTGCACTCTCACCAGGGAGTCATCCTGCTGGCTTTCTTGTCTCCGCAGTGCTTTCACAAAGGTGAAAGCACCTCCAGGGTAATGGGCACAGCCCCACACATTGGGATGCAGCAGAAGATTTTTCCAGCACAAAGCAGGCTGCCCTGTCTACTTCGTGGAGGGCGCTGCACTGATTCACAGCAACAGGGAGAGTTTTTATATGATTCTGTTGGTTAGGCTCCCCCTGCCTTGCTTTTCCTCCATCAAGCCCAAGGGGGTAGATAAGGCCCTAGGCTTGGAGGGCTGTGCTTGGCCCAAGGTCACCAAGCCTGTCGTTCCCCCCCCCCCAAACCTTCCTTTCCCTGCTCTCCAGAGCCCCAGGGGCATTCGCCTGTGCTCTTCTGCTTCGAGGCTTCCACCCCTGCTATGCTCGGAGATAAAATTCTCCAAGCACTGTTGTGGAGCGCACCGCGGAAGGAAACCTGGGGGTTCTCACCACCACCGCCCCCACCCCCGGGCACAGCCAGCATGTCCCAGGCAAACAGATAAGCAACACAATCCCGGCCAGACCCCAGCAGCTGGAGTGGAAAGGCTGGTGTAGTGTGACACTCCAGTGATACACAAGCCACCCTTTTGGGGGGGGGGTGTTGGGGAGGGGAGAGGAGCTCAGCAAGAAGAACAGCTGCTTCCAAAATCCATACTTTGCTCCCACAGCCCAGTTCAGCTGTTTGCAGGGATTCTGTCCGGGCCCACTTCCCTTCAATTCACAAAACCCTGCAAGTTATTTATAACGCAGGCCCCTGATGCCACCGCTGGGATCCCAAGCCATTTCACCAATCTGAGCTGATTTTTTTTGGGGGGGGGAGAGGGGGTCTTGGAGCTGAAGAGGGATCTTTAAGTGAAGCAGACTCTTCACCTGAAGGAAGGGAGCTGGTGAGACACAGACTGTCTTCCTCACCGCCAACGAAAGGACAGCCCGCACCAGCCAAAGTACAGCCAGGCCCCACACGGGACGCTTGCCCAGCACCATGGCAAGGGGGCAGAGCCTGGAAGACAGGGCCACTCCAGAGGCACAGGTGGGATCAGTTGAGGACACCTTCCCTTCTCGCTCCTGAAGGCCAGTCAAGCGCTCTCTAGGAAGTGCCTTCGGGTTCCACGTGGGGCAACTTGCTCTGGAAGATGTGGGGCTCTGGAGCGAAGCACAACTCTCCCAAGTCCTGTGCCTGGTGCAGGTTGGAGACCGAGGCAGGCCCGGACGGCTCACCCTCTGGGGGTCTGTCCCTCGGAGCCACTGGTGGCTGCCGTCCCTGGCCCCAGAGGAGTGTTTGTGAAAGCCACGGAACCACCCTTTCAGCCGAGGTGGGAGCAACAAGGGGGGGGGCGTCCCGTCCTGCCTCTTCCATGCAGTTAGAGGGGCTCAGGAGGGGGGGTGGCCCTGCTTGATGCCTAGCCTAGGAGAAGAACACCCTCCTCCACCAGGCTCAAAGAGACAAACCACTGGGATCCTCTCTGCATCGCTGGATTGCACAGGCCAGTCGCTCAGCTGGGGGCTCTCGTGACCGTCGGAGCACCCTGGCGCTATTCACTCGAGCACGGAGGACTCACCTGGAGACTTTTCCCCCTTTTCTTTTGCAGACATACAATGTAAAAGGGCCCCGGGTTCAGGAAGGAATTGAGGCCCAGGCAATTCATGGCTGACCTCTGAGGCAGCTGGGAAGATCTGACCCTGGGAAAACAGGGGCTGAGTGACCCATTCATGCCTGGGAGGAGTCCACCCCATCAAGGACATGTAGCAGAGGCCGGTTCTTGGGGAAGGGCCTGAGCACGACTCAGCACACCTTTCCCTCCCTCCCTCTCTCCTGACCACGACTCAGCACACCCTTCCTTCACTTCCGGGCTTGAGTGGCTGCTGCTTCTGCTCTCGGGCGCACAGCTCATGGGCTGACACAACAGACCGGGGGGGGGGGGAAGCCTACAGGGTTGCAGAACCTGGCTCGAACCCATCACTACTGCCCCGCCCGGAGATGCCACCTGCCAGGCAGCGGCAGCATGCACTCCCTTACGGACGTGTGTATTCCTGGTGTGTGTGTGTGGGGAGTTTGCAGCACGGGTGTACAGAATGAGGGTGTGCTGCTGTTTTGGGGTCCCGCTCACTGGCCCTGAGGGCTTCGAAATGGACCTGGCTATAGAGAGCAGAGTCCCGTCCTGATCATGTACGGCTGAACCATTAAAACAAGGAGACCACGCCTTTGCTCCCAGTGTTCTTTTGAAACAAAACACAAAACTCCTCACACAAGAGCAGGTTGCTTACAATCAAAATAAATTACCGATGCGTTCTGACAGGGCTTCCCTCTCCTTGCGTGGACGATAAGGCTGCTGAGGGAGGAGGCCACCGCACAGGCGTGGGGCAGATCTACGTCATTACTTTCTCCACCTGGTCCCGGCAACGACTCGGCAGCACCAGGGTCTTCCGGTGGGCTGCGCCGATCAAGGCATGATGGGCCTCTTCATCAATCAACTTGGCCGTGGCTTCACTGAAGCACTTCTCGGGCGCCCGCTCGCCCTGAGACCTGGCCCAGCCTGTGGCTCATCCCAAACGGCACGATCTGAAAAGAGAGCAGCCCTTCTTGGCTCACGGCAGAACTTGGCAAGAGGGAGGGGGCAAAAACCTAACCCTGCCTGAGGCCACCCTTGCCTCATCCTTGCCCAGCTCCACAAGCTTTCCCCAAAATACCTCTTCTTGGGTTTTGCTCTGTAGCCTTTTTTTTTTTTTTTTGGCAAAACTAGATGTAGAAATGCTCTGAAGCTTTATCAGAGCACATAGGGAGGTGGTTTGTCAAACACTTGCATAGCCAAGCAAAATGCCCCCTGGCTGTGCCTAGCTGCCCCCCCGCCCCCGCCCAGCCTCTCCACTTCCTAAGAAATGCCTGGGGCAGAGGTTGGGCCAGTTCCTCTTCCAGACTACAACTCCCAGAATCCAGCAAGGAAGAGGAAATCCTGTTCAAAATGGACAGGAAGGAAGACAGGGCCGACGTTTCTGCCACTCCCCGCCGCCTGTAGCTGCACTGGTGGAGGGTGGCGCTGGATTTGGGAGTGGCAGTTGAGGGGGCCTTACCTGAGCATAGGCGCTCTGCGTCACTCGTTGGAGGTCATCCTGGGCCCCGGTGGTGATTTGCCACCCAGCCTCCCAGCATCAGGGACATGCAGTCCAAGAGCTGCTCCTGAGTGTTACTGCGGCAGGTACTGGGCATAACCCAAGCCTTTCCCCTGGGGGATG